GAAATACAGTGTCTCTGAGTGAGGTGTGAAATACAGTGTCTCTGAGTGAGGTGTGAAACACAGTGTCTCTGAGTGAGGCGTGAAATACAGTGTCTCTGAGTGAGGTGTGAAATACAGTGTCTCTGAGTGAGGCGTGAAATACAGTGTCTCTGAGTGAGGTGTGAAATACAGTGTCTCTGAGTGAGGTGTGAAATACAGTGTCTCTGAGTGAGGCGTGAAACACAGTGTCTCTGAGTGAGGTGTGAAATACAGTGTCTCTGAGTGAGGTTTGAAATACAGTGTCTCTGAGTGAGGTGTGAAACACAGTGTCTCTGAGTGAGGCGTGAAATACAGTGTCTCTGAGTGAGGCGTGAAATACAGTGTCTCTGAGTGAGGCGTGAAATACAGTGTCTCTGAGTGAGGCGTGAAATACAGTGTCTCTGGGTGAGGCGTGAAACACAGTGTCTCTGGGTGAGGCGTGAAACACAGTGTCTCTGAGTGAGGTGTGAAATACAGTGTCTCTGAGTGAGGCGTGAAACACAGTGTCTCTGAGTGAGGTGTGAAATACAGTGTCTCTGAGTGAGGTGTGAAATACAGTGTCTCTGAGTGAGGTGTGAAACACAGTGTCTCTGAGTGAGGTGTGAAATACAGTGTCTCTGAGTGAGGTGTGAAATACAGTGTCTCTGAGTGAGGCGTGAAATACAGTGTCTCTGAGTGAGGTGTGAAATACAGTGTCTCTGAGTGAGGCGTGAAATACAGTGTCTCTGAGTGAGGCGTGAAATACAGTGTCTCTGAGTGAGGCGTGAAATACAGTGTCTGTGAGTGAGGTGTGAAATACAGTGTCTCTGAGTGAGGCGTGAAATACAGTGTCTCTGAGTGAGGCGTGAAATACAGTGTCTCTGAGTGAGGTGTGAAATACAGTGTCTCTGAGTGAGGCGTGAAATACAGTGTCTCTGAGTGAGGCGTGAAATACAGTGTCTCTGAGTGAGGCGTGAAATACAGTGTCTCTGAGTGAGGCGTGAAATACAGTGTCTCTGAGTGAGGCGTGAAATACAGTGTCTCTGAGTGAGGTGTGAAATACAGTGTCTCTGAGTGAGGCGTGAAATACAGTGTCTCTGAGTGAGGTGTGAAATACAGTGTCTCTGAGTGAGGTGTGAAATACAGTGTCTCTGAGTGAGGCGTGAAACACAGTGTCTCTGAGTGAGCTGTGAAATACAGTGTCTCTGAGTGAGGTGTGAAATACAGTGTCTCTGAGTGAGGTGTGAAACACAGTGTCTCTGAGTGAGGCGTGAAATACAGTGTCTCTGAGTGAGGCGTGAAATACAGTGTCTCTGAGTGAGGCGTGAAATACAGTGTCTCTGAGTGAGGTGTGAAATACAGTGTCTCTGAGTGAGGTGTGAAATACAGTGTCTCTGAGTGAGGCGTGAAACACAGTGTCTCTGAGTGAGGTGTGAAATACAGTGTCTCTGAGTGAGGTGTGAAATACAGTGTCTCTGAGTGAGGTGTGAAACACAGTGTCTCTGAGTGAGGCGTGAAATACAGTGTCTCTGAGTGAGGCGTGAAATACAGTGTCTCTGAGTGAGGCGTGAAATACAGTGTCTCTGAGTGAGGCGTGAAATACAGTGTCTCTGGGTGAGGCGTGAAACACAGTGTCTCTGGGTGAGGCGTGAAACACAGTGTCTCTGAGTGAGGTGTGAAATACAGTGTCTCTGAGTGAGGTGTGAAACACAGTGTCTCTGAGTGAGGTGTGAAATACAGTGTCTCTGAGTGAGGTGTGAAATACAGTGTCTCTGAGTGAGGTGTGAAACACAGTGTCTCTGAGTGAGGTGTGAAATACAGTGTCTCTGAGTGAGGTGTGAAACACAGTGTCTCTGAGTGAGGTGTGAAATACAGTGTCTCTGAGTGAGGTGTGAAATACAGTGTCTCTGAGTGAGGTGTGAAATACAGTGTCTCTGAGTGAGGCGTGAAATACAGTGTCTCTGAGTGAGGTGTGAAATACAGTGTCTCTGAGTGAGGTGTGAAATACAGTGTCTCTGAGTGAGGCGTGAAACACAGTGTCTCTGAGTGAGGTGTGAAATACAGTGTCTCTGAGTGAGGTGTGAAATACAGTGTCTCTGAGTGAGGTGTGAAACACAGTGTCTCTGAGTGAGGCGTGAAATACAGTGTCTCTGAGTGAGGCGTGAAATACAGTGTCTCTGAGTGAGGCGTGAAATACAGTGTCTCTGAGTGAGGCGTGAAATACAGTGTCTCTGGGTGAGGCGTGAAACACAGTGTCTCTGGGTGAGGCGTGAAACACAGTGTCTCTGAGTGAGGTGTGAAATACAGTGTCTCTGAGTGAGGCGTGAAACACAGTGTCTCTGAGTGAGGTGTGAAATACAGTGTCTCTGAGTGAGGTGTGAAATACAGTGTCTCTGAGTGAGGTGTGAAACACAGTGTCTCTGAGTGAGGTGTGAAATACAGTGTCTCTGAGTGAGGTGTGAAATACAGTGTCTCTGAGTGAGGCGTGAAATACAGTGTCTCTGAGTGAGGTGTGAAATACAGTGTCTCTGAGTGAGGCGTGAAATACAGTGTCTCTGAGTGAGGCGTGAAATACAGTGTCTCTGAGTGAGGCGTGAAATACAGTGTCTGTGAGTGAGGTGTGAAATACAGTGTCTCTGAGTGAGGCGTGAAATACAGTGTCTCTGAGTGAGGTGTGAAATACAGTGTCTCTGAGTGAGGCGTGAAATACAGTGTCTCTGAGTGAGGCGTGAAATACAGTGTCTCTGAGTGAGGCGTGAAATACAGTGTCTCTGAGTGAGGCGTGAAATACAGTGTCTCTGAGTGAGGCGTGAAATACAGTGTCTCTGAGTGAGGTGTGAAATACAGTGTCTCTGAGTGAGGCGTGAAATACAGTGTCTCTGAGTGAGGTGTGAAATACAGTGTCTCTGAGTGAGGTGTGAAATACAGTGTCTCTGAGTGAGGCGTGAAACACAGTGTCTCTGAGTGAGGTGTGAAATACAGTGTCTCTGAGTGAGGTGTGAAATACAGTGTCTCTGAGTGAGGTGTGAAACACAGTGTCTCTGAGTGAGGCGTGAAATACAGTGTCTCTGAGTGAGGCGTGAAATACAGTGTCTCTGAGTGAGGCGTGAAATACAGTGTCTCTGAGTGAGGCGTGAAATACAGTGTCTCTGAGTGAGGTGTGAAATACAGTGTCTCTGAGTGAGGCGTGAAACACAGTGTCTCTGAGTGAGGTGTGAAATACAGTGTCTCTGAGTGAGGTGTGAAATACAGTGTCTCTGAGTGAGGTGTGAAACACAGTGTCTCTGAGTGAGGCGTGAAATACAGTGTCTCTGAGTGAGGCGTGAAATACAGTGTCTCTGAGTGAGGCGTGAAATACAGTGTCTCTGAGTGAGGCGTGAAATACAGTGTCTCTGGGTGAGGCGTGAAACACAGTGTCTCTGGGTGAGGCGTGAAACACAGTGTCTCTGAGTGAGGTGTGAAACACAGTGTCTCTGAGTGAGGTGTGAAACACAGTGTCTCTGAGTGAGGTGTGAAATACAGTGTCTCTGAGTGAGGTGTGAAATACAGTGTCTCTGAGTGAGGTGTGAAACACAGTGTCTCTGAGTGAGGTGTGAAATACAGTGTCTCTGAGTGAGGTGTGAAATACAGTGTCTCTGAGTGAGGCGTGAAATACAGTGTCTCTGAGTGAGGTGTGAAATACAGTGTCTCTGAGTGAGGCGTGAAATACAGTGTCTCTGAGTGAGGCGTGAAATACAGTGTCTCTGAGTGAGGCGTGAAATACAGTGTCTGTGAGTGAGGTGTGAAATACAGTGTCTCTGAGTGAGGCGTGAAATACAGTGTCTCTGAGTGAGGCGTGAAATACAGTGTCTCTGAGTGAGGTGTGAAATACAGTGTCTCTGAGTGAGGCGTGAAATACAGTGTCTCTGAGTGAGGCGTGAAATACAGTGTCTCTGAGTGAGGTGTGAAATACAGTGTCTCTGAGTGAGGCGTGAAATACAGTGTCTCTGAGTGAGGCGTGAAATACAGTGTCTCTGAGTGAGGCGTGAAATACAGTGTCTCTGAGTGAGGTGTGAAATACAGTGTCTCTGAGTGAGGCGTGAAATACAGTGTCTCTGAGTGAGGCGTGAAACACAGTGTCTCTGAGTGAGGCGTGAAACAACAAACAATAAAACAGGTTGGAACATCAATAGTTACACATATATTTCAAGCTAGACGATCGATAGTATCGATAGACGTAACAGATTAACATACATAGTGTTGGTCTTTCACTTTACAGTTAGTTTTGATCCGCATACATCCCAAGAGATCGTTGTAAAAAATCCTAAGGCTAATGAAGTGTAGAATAACGTAGCCTAGATTGCCTCGATACTGAAATTAAGAATTGTTCCAACCTTTATTTAGATTTGTTGTGTACACATAAGATAACACTATTTCTGGACTAATGTGGGTATACATTCAGAAAACGTTCATAATACAATATCAGACACTAAACAGAGGCACATCCGTCACAACTTTCCAAGCAACCTGCTTAATGTAGGACGTTTCCAATATGTTAGGCGTTGACATGTCAAGAAAATCTCTGTTGTTGGATACTACCTACTACAATACTTTTGCTATAGTACCTCAATGGTGTTTCATCTATCACAATAATATTGCAATTGTAAATATACCCTCAGTACTCACTCTTGGCCTACTTGCAATTACTTCCCTATCATGAGCGGCCATTCCAGTCGCTATCCAAATCAATTCAGACAGATCTGCTCGCTTTTCACGTCCAATCATGACTTATCTACTCTGTATCCCAATTAAAAACATGAAACGATTTGATTATGATAAATTATTATTGTTTGTATTTTTTAATCCAGCTAGCATTGACTACATTTGTGATGCTTGCATCCATGGAACAGACTATGTCTCTTGATGTCTCTTTCGTGCCTTTGGAGATACTTGAATAGCCAAACTCGTTCACTATGAATTAAAAATAGATTATTTACATAACATTGCTTAAAATGTATACTTACCAATGCATATAACTGCGATTGAAAACCAACAATTCGGTAACTGCATCGCTGCCTGAAACTGATTAGAAAGGAGAAATGGGGTCATTGAGAAAATACATATCTGGAATTGAAATGTTTCATGTACATGTAAGTGGATCTCTAATGTCAAATACTGAAAGATTTAAAATTATCTTCATGTATATCAATAGTAAAATACCCAAAGCATATTAACGTTTAAGGGGCGGTCTGGTAGCCTAGTGGTTAAAGCGTTCGCTCGTCGCACCAAAGACTAGGGTTCGATTCCCACATTTTCTGGTGTCCGGATATCAATGTCTTATCAATGTGTTGAAAGTCCTATTAGATAACCCTGGGATGTGTGTGAGCAGACAGCAAGGTCCTACATATAGGAAAAAAAACATTTATCAACTGAAACTGATAATATTAAAAAAGAAAGAGCACATGGATTGAAAAGTAGTTCTTTAATTGTGGAGTGTTCATCATTTAGTTGTTTGGTTGGTTGGTTGCTTGTATATTGCCGCACTCAGCAATATTCCAGCTATATGACGGCAGTTTTCATCATTTAGATCAAGTTTGTATGAGGCGGCAACAACACATCTTAAACAGGATAAAAGTTTCTCAGTGATAAACGACTATATAGAACGTGTTAGAAACACGTAAATCTCTTATCCATTTCATGGTTGAAGCTCGTGTAACGCACAAGAAACCCTATTTATCATACGAAAAGCTAATAAGTGGTGATAAAATGTATGCTATAGCTAAAGATGGCAACAGTTTATAGCAAGTGGGAACAAGACGAGGGAGTGAGTGAGTATGGTTTTACGCCGCTTTTAGCAATATTCCAGCAATATCACGGCAGGGGACACCAGAAATGGGCGGAACAAGACGAAGTCGACCACTAACGTCTAGGGATCCACTGGTTGAATAGGAGTCCCAACCACATGAGACTACAAAAGACGAGCAGGGTGATGCATAGGAACTCGGCAGTGTCCAGAAGCACGTTCTTGAGGGGATGTTCTATTCTAATCATAATGCAACTTTGATTAATATATTCATGGAACATCCAAGGAATTATGTCTTAACTAGAATCTGCATCAGTTTTAGATGTTTTTAAAACGTTTGATGTTTTCTGTCTTATTGAAACTAAAGGATAGTGATAAAATAACAGATCCCTTTAATAATTATGTATGTTTCGTATCTCGTGCAAAAACGGATTCTGATTTTTTTGCCAGTTTCATGCAAGCTTCTTCACGCTTATACATCTAGTGAAAATAAGATAGAACATTATTGTCATGCAAGGAAAACAGTTCATATCCCAAGATTTATTTGGGCAAGCAATAAAGCTCAAAGTTTTATTGACAACATTTCTACACCTCAAGCAGATTATCGAAAGTTCTTTTTAAGTTGTGTTTATAAGGATGTTTACTCGGCACCAGAAATTTACAGGTGCACATCTTCGAAAAGCACCAAAATAAGCATGCCCAAAGTCCAAATCACAGCCCGAATGGTTTGATCATAAATGTAAGGGGAAAAAAGATTATGACAGTCTTTTAAACAAGTTGCGTGCCCATAAAAGCTCTGAAATCTTGAATGATTTTCTGCAGGCTAAAGGAGATTTCCGAAGAACGCGAGGAACAAAGTAGAAATTTTTTCATAGATTTGAAAGTGAAAAGACAAATTGTGCTGTAATGGATAAAGAATGCAAATTATTTTGGCGAAATATAAAGTCATTACTCAGTAAAAATGAAAGTGACAAAACTATCTCCCCTAACAGCTGGTATCCATAATTTGAGAAGTTATTAAATCCCCTGTTTGTAGAGTGTAGTGAATTCTATTAAAAGGTAGTAAATGTTTTGAAAGATCATTATTTAATTTAGACACTTGTATTGAGTGCAACAACTCGCATTAATTATTGTCAGGGGAAATTACAGAAGAAGAAATTACAGTAGCTCTAATTTCCTTAATCTCTAGGAAATTTTCTGGTGTGGATGGTTTGCCTCTTGCATTTTTTTCAAAATTGTTATGAAATACTCCCTTACATGAGAATATTATTTAATTCTATTATGGATCAGGGTGTATTCCCTGAAGATGGGAATTGTGGAATAATGGTACCTATATTTAAAAATTGATATAGGACAGACCCAAACAATAACAGGAGAAAATCTTAAATTAATATCATTGAAAAGAATTTACATCACTATATGAGTCGAGACTGCGATATTGGTTAGAATTATATGAATTGATAGCCGAATCTTAAGCTGAGTTTAGAAAGGAACATTTTAGGTAGATGCTATCTTTGTCCGGCAATCCCTTGCTCAGAAATATTCACGTAAGGCCAAACATCGTATTTTTATTCAGCTTACATTGATTTCCGTAAAGCCTGTGATAAGGTTGATAAGAATAAGTTGTTATATATGTTATTACAGAAGGGTATTCATGGTAAAGTGTATAATGTTTTAGAAAGCATGTACAGAAATGTCTGTGCTTGTGTACGCTTGGGGAATTCGAAAACATATATCTTTATATATGCTTAGTCCTCTACTTTTCATATTTTTTATCAACCAGTTGGCTACTGATATGGTGGAAAGTGAAACGAATGGTATCTTTGTAAATGATAAACTAGTGTCCAAAAGAAACAATACCACCTGTTTGCAACGACATAAAAGAAAAAACTAAACAATGCAGAAGTTTAGGATTGGTGTTATGCTTTTGAGAAATCCTTTCACAATATCTGTACAAAAATTTCATTTCAATAAAATCTGTACAACCAATATGACAAGCCTTTAAAGATGGGTGGGGTCGAAAAATGAACATTTCGTTAGAGCACTGATCACAGAAACAACGGGAAATGTCACACCACACGTCTCAAAGTCAAGTCAGTAGCGGGTATGTCCACCGTGAGCATCAATACATGCAAGAACACGCCTACGACTGATGACGTCAAACGTCTGATGACGTTGGGAGTGATGCGTTGCCATTCCTCGAGGAGACATCGTTCCAAGTCCTGGACGTTGACTGGAGGCACACGGCGACGTCGGATTTGCCGATCGAGGTGGTCCCATAAGTGCTCGATGGGATTTATGTCCGGTGAAAATGCGGGCCATGGCAAAACCTGTACGTTGGCGTTGGCAAGGAAGTTCTGTGTCAATCTTGCTGTGTGTGGCCTTGCATTGTCATATTGGAAAAGGAGTCCACGAGGCTGTTGCTGAATAAAGGGCACCACAACAGGCCGTAGGATGTCATCAAGATAATGCTGTGCATTCAGGTTTCCACGAATTACGACAAGCATCGTTTTGACGTCATCACATATGCCACCCCAAACCATTAACCCTCCACCTCCAAACGGCCGGACCTGTTGGATACAGTTAGGCGCCAAACGTTCACCAAATCGTCGGTATACAAGCTGCCGTCCATCGTTTCTGAAGATGAGGAATCTGCTCTCATCAGAGAACATAACACGTGCCCAGTCCCGCCGTTGCCAACGTGGAACTCGCCTGGCCCAGATCAGCCTGTTGTTCCGGTGTCGAGGCGTCAGGAGCGGTCCGCGGTAGGGATGACGTGGCCGGATACCATACTGCCGTAGTCTCCTGTAGACGGTCTGTCGACTGATCCTGTGTCCCAGTGCTGTAGCCGCCGTGGACGTCGCTGTTACGGTGCGGTTCCTCAGGTGTAATACCCGGATGTAACGATTTTCACGGGGCGTGGTTACTCGTGGTCTGCCACTCCTGGGCCTTTCTGACGTCTGACCTGTCTGACGTAATCGCTGCATCAACCTGGTGATAGTGATGCGTGCGCAGCCCAACCTTCTGGCGACGTCGACGTGTGACGCTCCTTGTTGGACCATTCCAACGGCTCTCTCTCTCTCGATGGCTGTCAAACGTGGCACATCTTGTGTTCTTTTTGTTGCTGTGATATCAACGTGTCTGATCAGCCGTTTTATACAGTTTTTCTGCACGTGCAGAACATGCTAGAGAGGGAAATGTCACTTTCACGAAATTTACGTTTTTTCCCGGAAGTGATCACGTGTTCCCGGTATTTTTTATCGACTATGCTGTGTTTGGGATGTGCAATACGAATTGGCATGTTTTCATACTTGACAATTCACTTAGTAAAAAACAATTTTGAAAATAAGTTGGTATCGTTTCTTTTGGACACTAGTTTAGTATTGAGTTCATCAAGATTTTGTTATTTGCAGATGGTCAGATTCAGTTGTTGACCTAAAAAAGAAGCTATCAGCATTAGAATGTTTTTTACCAAAACTGGAACATGGAGGTAATTTTGGAAAAGTCGTAAATAATTGTATTTATAAATGACGGGTATGTCAAAAGTGTAGAAAAAATGGTTTTATGGCAATGAAAAATGAACATTGTATCTTATTATAAATATCTTGGGTAAGTGGGGCGATATTCGTTGTGTGTTAAGTATTTCTGTTGCTGCATAAAGTATTGGTGTAAGTTGGAGCAGGGGAACCCAACACGTTATCCGCGGGCTCAAAGTACATGTGGATAATGGAGGGGTCAACTGGGCACCACATGGTAATATGTTATTATTCCAAACATGCCTAGGATTCGCATGAATACGTCTGGAAATGCCAGGAATGTGGGGAGGAATCTCAGTTTATGAGTATGTTCCGTTCCAGATACATTGATATCCATATACAGACTTGGTATCAAAAGTAAATACTTCTATATTTCTTAGATATTATGGATCGTAGTAATCATTACCCGAATATAAGATATAAGATCAAATTATTATAAAGATCTCATGAGAATACTTGCTTTATCACATGGTTTAAAAATACAAATGCAATGCTATGGTAAAACAATGTATGCTTCAAGATGCCTAGTTTGTGACAAAAGTAACTTGATGGAGATCGAAGATGAATGCCATTTTTTGCTCGTGTGTCCCTACTATAAGTCAAGCAGAAATGTGTTGTTACCGATATACTATTATCGTTATCCATCAAGACAGAGGCCTATTGATTTGATGTCAACAGGAAAAAGAAAAAGTTTTGAAAGATTTAGCCCTTTTCAGTAAAAGAAATTTAGCGATGTA